CATCTGTCCCTCACACATCTGTACAGAGACACACTGAGTCAGGGGGTTTCTGACCCGAGTCTCAAGCTTCAGGTTTCTTCTGTTTTAGTTTCACTTTGTCTTTTAGAGACGAAAGAATTCTGTCTCACGTCCTGTCCTCATCACCTTCTGTCTTCATGGAGAAAATTAATGAAGCTTGATGGTATCACTCGCAGCATCAGCACCTACAGTACTACAGTACTACAGTACTCCACAGTACTCCACAGTACTCTACAGTACTCCACAGTACTCTACAGTACTCTACAGTACTACAGCAGGGTTTCCCACAGCGCTTTATAGTTAAGGCGGCCGCCTTGACAACAACGGCCCCCCGCCGTGACTACGTCCCCCCGAAAATAAATAAATAAATAAATATTCTGCATCCCGCATGCATAGACAGTAGGTTAAAATAAGGCAGCATCGCAATGAGGCGGAATAGCGGCATCTGTAGGTTAAATATGTTAAGCCATCTATCATCTGCTGTAACTGCGTGTACAGTACTTAACAGTACTAAAGTACTCCACAGTACTACAGTACTCAACCGTACTCTACAGTACTCCACAGTACTCTACAGTACTCCAGTACTCAACCGTATTCTACAGTACTTCACAGTACTCTACAGTACTCCACAGTACTACAGTACTCCACAGTACTCTACAGTACTCCACAGTACTCTACAGTACTCCACAGTACTACAGTACTCCACAGTCCTCTAGGTTCAAACATTATATTGTCGGAGGTGAAGATTGCTGCTGCTTTTTCTATTTTCATCTTCTTCTCTTCTTCTTCTTCTTCTTCTTCTACTTCTTCTTCTCCTTCTTCTCCTTCTTCTCCTTCTTCTTCTTCTTCCATGGTCTAATGTGTCTCTACTTCCTGTGATTGGTCCTAAAGTCCAAACTGTCCAACAAAGTGTTTCCACTGAACCAACAGAGGTTCAGTCTGATCCAGACCCAGAACTCCTCTTCTGGACTAAATGTGTGTGTGTGGCTCTGGACTTGGTCTGTGAGAGTATTTTAGTGCTTTAATAATATATTTGATTTCAGTTTGCAGTTCCATGCTGAAATAAAAATAGTTTTATATATTGTGTACTCCGGCCGGCCTTGTTTTCCGTTGGTGGACTTCCTGTGAGTTGAAAACAGTTTAAAATTGGAGATGAGATGTTATCTTCCCTCTGCCAAAGAATCTCTGCGTCTTCACATTCCTCTTCTCCTCTGGGATTGGCTGCTCTTAGTTCCTGCTCTGGCTGCCAGTGACATGAGGCTGAATAAAGCCGCTCTCTCTTTTCTCCTCGGTCTCTGTCGCTGGTATTCCAGAGGAATGCTCAGTTGAATTCCTGCGCTGGGCTGGAGGCAGCAGAGCCGCTCCACAGTCTCATGTTGCTGCGAGCCTCCTCTCCAGGACCAACATGTGCAGCAGAGGAAACAAAGACAAGGATACGCTCCACGTTCTTCTATCAGGTTTATAAAGTTGTACATAGGTTAGGGTATCAAGTCAGATTTCAAACTACAAACTGAAAATGGATTCCATCTGTAGGTCTGACACAAACACACCAGTGTAAACAAAGATGGACGACACATCTCCAAAAATAAAGCGAACATGTCACAGGTACGGGCGCCGCCATCTTGCATTTATGACGTCATTTACAGTCAGAGTCAGTCAGTATCCAGGTCCCGCCCACACACACACTCAACCAATCCTGGGTCAGTGTCAGCTGTCAATCACCACGTCTGTTTGACAAAACATTTGATTGACAGATTTAAACCAGTGAGTTCAAAAGATCAGTGAGAGGAACAGGATGAGAACAGTCCGACTGAACGATCAGTTAGAAAAGATGTGAGGCAGGTTCTGGGTTCTGGAGCAGAGCGGCTGAAGGCTCTGCATGCCGTGGTGGTCAAGCGGGCAGGTGGTACATTGAGGTGGATGGAAGGTGAAGAGTGAGTGATTGTTAATCCTCCACAGGAAATTGTGATGACTCCCTGGATGGTCTTATAGAAACATAACAGGACTCTGGAGACGGTTCTCTGGATTCTACCTCCTGAATGTGAACAGGTTGGAACACGTAACGCACAGAGCTGCTGTTCACACCACCGACGTCATGTCAACTTCCTGTTTACACCACATGACCGGTGTCGGTGAGAGGTCATGTGTCTTCATGTGTTAGTGTGGACGCAGATTATTTCTGATGTGGAGCTAAAACACAGAGACAGTTTATCTGGACTTGAAGAGGAACTGGTCAACGGTCGCTCTGATGTCACAGACACACCTCAGGAACAGAAGGTGGAGGAGGTTGTGACCTCAGCGTGACGGAGGCTCCTCAGGCTGCTGATGCTACAATGACAGTTTCTAACATTCATGTGTGACATCTGCAGAACATCTGCAGAACATCTGCAGCATCACATCCTCTTCAGCCGGGCGGTGCAGCTGTGAGGCTGATTGAGTTCTGCTTTAATACGATAAGTGTTTATAAGATTGTGAGCGGCAGAGTGTGGTCGGGCCCGGAGCACGAGAGATGTTCAGTATCTGACAGCTGCAGGCGGAGCAGACGTTTGTCGTCAGGGCGACCGGTGACTGTTGAGTGGGATGACAGGAGATGGATTCATATGACATTCTAGTGTTTCCTGACAGACTGTCTGTGATTGGCTGCTGCAGACTTCAGTGACGGAGCTTCGTCTTATCTCAGCACAAACAAACTGTGGCAGGATCCAGAGCTGATTCACAGCTGGAAGGAAACCAACCAATGAAATGTCCTTTTATGGCATGTGAGCGCTTTTTAAACAGGAAGTGACATCAGGACAAGTGAGAGGGGGATCTCACTAGAGAGAAGATCCCCCGACACTGGACACACACACCCTGTCACCCTCACCCTCTCTCACCCTCTCTCACCCTCTCACACTCGCTCACCCTCTCACCCCCTCTCACCCTCTCACCCTCTCACACTCGCTCACCCTCACAGACCACTCCAGTGAACCAGCAGCCTTATGTGAGAGTGGAGCCAGATCTCCTGACGTGGCTCCAGACGTGTTGCTGCAGATAAAGAGTCGACCTCAGCGTTAGAACCAGACTCAGCTTGTAAAATATTTGTGTGAAGTGATTCCTCATCATCGGTTTGAAACTGAAGAAAGACGACTGGGGGGGGGGGGTTCTTTAATGTGCAGCTCCTTGAAGCGGGAGGTTGTTGTTTCTAAGATCCTGTTTAAATCTAAAACTAGAACTGAGCTCAAACCTCCAACGCTCTCCTCATGAAACCACAGCTGAATTCACGTGATCCAGATATTCATTTGGATCCTGGCTGAGGAAACGTCTGTGTCACCGTTTAAATCTAATGCTTTTTATTATTATTGTTATTATTTTATTAATATTCTCAGTATTGAAAACTGTCAGTAAAGGTTTTTCTGCAAAATAAAACAAAAGTAATGTGGTTTTTGTTGGTTTGTGTTTTTCAGCCAGAGAAGAAGAAACCTAGAGCTGAGCATCTGATTGGACAGGAGGCCTGTCACTCAAACAGTGTTTCACATCAGGTACCCGCCTTCTCTCTTCTTTAAAACACTCAAGTTCAAGTCCGAGGAACGAACCCGAACAGGAAACGGATCAAAACGATAGATTCAGAGCGAGTTGACTCGTTATTGTCGATCTCGTGTCAGTTTTCAGGAGAATTTCATGTTGGAGGAAAATACTTTTTCTTTCCTTCTTCTTTTGTAGAAATCTCTTGTTTTATCTGTCACTACAATACCCAGAATGCATTCTGATAGCTGTATCCTGAGGCCTGACCCTGTCTTTGGCCGCTGCCCGGTTCATCCGCCTGTCATGGAGCCAGGAACAGAAAGAGGAACTGATAGTGAGACAGTGTCAGCAGGATGTGAGAGCGTCTGTGTTGTGACATCCAATCCCTCGGAGCTGCGACGCCAACACATGCCTCGCTCTCTCTCCGTCACTCTGCAAATGACCCGTCCTCTGCAAACTGCTTCTGTTGTGACTGCAGCTTTTACTCAAATCAAACATAAAAAACATTTACAGCTACATTCGTTTCATGAAGTGCAGAAAAGTCTCAGTGCACTCGACTGATTTACGAGAAAAGAGCTGAGGACACTTCCTCTCGTCAGTTACGTCCGTTGATGAAGACAAATCCTCTCAGGTTTGTGTCACAGATGTGGTTCGAGTTTCTGCTTTGACACAAACTGAAATTTCAGTTTTCTTTACATTGTGGTTTGCACACACACGCACACACACACACACACACACACACACACACACACACACACGTACTTCTGTCTTAGTGAGGACACTCATGGGTATAATGCATTCCCTAACTTAAACCTAAAACCAAGTTAACCCTCAAACAAGCTTAGAGAAGTGAGAACTGGTCAAAATGTCCTCGATCTGTAGGTCTGTGCTTAAAATGGTCCTCGCAAAGACATAAGTACAGGAACACACACACACACACACACACACACACACACACACACACACACACACACACACACGAGGTATCCCACCTTGTTAATACATAAAGTTTTTACCGTCCTCACAGAGTTCAGCTGCAGTTCACGTGCTCTTGTCTTATCTGTTGCTCTGTAGCTCACAGGTGTGAACTGTGTCATTCACAGTTTAATGTAACGTGACATCAGATCAGTGTTTCTGGATATAAATGTGCTGTCACAGCAACGATGGAGCAGATTATAGAAGTCAGTTTCCGCAGTTTCTTGTTTTCATGTAAAAAGAACCGATGTTCCTCATTCTCACGTTCACACCCTCGACTCTGTCAAGTTGTTTGACAGAAGCTGGAACGTTTGTGTCGAGCTTCCTTCTCACAGAAACAACACTGACAAGTGTAGTTGGAATAAAAGAAGAATGTTACGAAGCAGCTCGTATAAACCTCCTCCTCCAACAGGCTCCTCAGCTTTATTCATGACTAGATTCATGAATTATGAAAACGTTAAAAGAGATTTGCTCTGAGTGTTAAAGAGATAAAAGATCATGAGTTCAGCTCATGACTCATTTGTCCACAGAGTTTAGTGGAAATAGTTTTTGTTTGGACCTCAGGACACAAACACTGGAGACAGAGGAGCAGTCTGACTCTGGAGAGGGTTAAAGTTTGATGTCGTGTCTTAATCTGGATTTGAATGTTTTGCAGGTGTGAGTCGGGCGGAGGTGCAGAGCAGCAATCATGGTGGCCCTGTCACTAAAGATCGGCGTGGGGAACGTGGTGAAGACCATGCAGTTTGAACCCTCCACCATGGTGTACGACGCCTGCCGCATCATCAGGGAGAGAGTTCCTGAGGCGCAGCTCGGCCAGCGTGAGACACACACACACACACACACACACACACACACACACACACACACACACACACACACACAGTGTGAGCTGATGATTACAGGCTGAGCTGAAGAGCTGAAGACAGCTGGAGTCCAGAGTTATGTGTCATTACGTTCGATGTCTCAACAGCAGCTCCGTGCGTTCAGGTTCCAACCTGTTTACATTTAAGACGTTTTCAGACATGAGCACAACTCAGCAGCAGGTTTTCTGCTCAGACTCGTTCAGCATCAGATCCTCCTCGTTCTTCAGGTGAGAGGTGGAGCAGACAGACAGGAAGTGATCATGTGATCATGGTTACATCACCTGACACCGTCGTCAGCTCTCATCACCACAAACTGTCTCCACGTCCTCGTCTGTCTTCTACGTGTGTGTCAGCACTTTGTCTCCAGAGACATTTGTTTGTGTTTCTTCATGTTTGTGTCACGTGTTAGAAGCTCATCACCCCCCCACTCCCTCAGAGGATCAGTGGAGGACGCTCTGCTGTGTCCTCACTTCTCCTGGACTTAGACTTTAAACTGGAGTGAAGGAGGAGACAGACAAACTGAGTCTCACTGTCCTCCAGAGAAGATCCAGAGACCTGAGGAGTTCAGTCTGAAGCAGCTTCAATGAGTCTGCTTGTTTAAAATCTGATCATCCACTGATCCACTGACCTGATTAAACAGACAGCGAAGCACTCGAGACAACAGCTCCACTGACGTCCTTGTGTTTCCTCCGCAGCCAACGACTACGGGCTGTTCCTGTCTGATGAAGACCCAAAGAAAGGCATCTGGCTGGAGGCAGGAAAGGCCCTGGATTACTACATGTTGAGGAATGGAGTGAGTCACACTCAGACACCACAAAGTGCAACAAATACTTCTAACACGGAAGAAATGGAAAGAAGAGAATGGTTAAAATTAGAACCTGAGCAGCTGATGT